CAAATAATTGTCTAAACCTGAGGATTGAGGCACTCTGTATGCTGAAATACAGAATGAAAATCCTAGTTCGGCAGCAGACGCTAAAGATTGTCTTTTATATTCTTAAGCTCATATATGGTGTCCATAGTTTATAAGACGTAATGTTACTTATATGCTGGTCTAAATAAATATTATTATTATTATTATATACGTGGGACACTCAGAAAATTTTGAGAAACTAAAAAACTAACTTATATGGAATAATTATTTTTATTAAATTTTTTTAGAGAACACTCCACCAGCCTCTATACAAAGTGTCATACGTCTGAATCAATTTTCAAATCATTATTTCCAGTCTTCCGCAGACACCTCATCCACGGCCTTCTCAAACGTTGCTAGGGCTTCTTCTGGCGATGAAAACTGTATCCCTTTGAGCTGATTTTTTATACACACAAATGCAGTGTCATATCCTAGTCTCATAATTTATTTTAACTACATAATTCACAGAAACCATATATTAGTTAACCTCAAATGTTGTTAATCACCCTACGAGTATATACAATACCAATCAATGACGTTAATGTCGCAGGTTAACGAAAGAATTATTCCCGTCTGTTGTTTTGGACACTTGGACGGCAGCTGCCTTAGAACGCCAAATAAAATAATTGTACAATCGACAAAGCATAGTTTATAATATTTGATTAAACTAAAGGCGCAGTAACATGTTCATAGCGTTCGGCACAGCACCATACCAATCCTATTTATTATTAATTTATCACTCAATGTATAGATTTATATCTTTGTCGTTCTCTTTTAAAGCGTTCACTAGATACAGGTCGCAGTCTTTCTGGTCTACCCTTTTTATTGGTAGTGCAAAGTTCGAATAAAGAGTACTTCCACCTATCAATCGGGCTGCTACCAGCCTAGCAATGGTGTGATCATAGCAATCATTTAAAAAAAGATATACCTATAAATAAAATAAGAATAAGTATGTATTAATTACCGAATAACGAATCCCTGTTTACCAAAAATGCAAAGTAGCTTAAACCTGCTATATGTTGTCACTCAGAAAGTTTTGCGAAAAAAAGTTTTTATGTATAAGGCACTGACCAATTGTAATTATTTTGAAAACTTCGATTATTTAAAAGTAAAAATACCACTGTAAGATTTTCAAGTTTCCCTGCGCATTTTTCCGAGAGCTAATTAAATTTTTCTTCTCTCATAAAAAAATGGATCTGCATCGAGAACATTTTCGTGCTATGATTTTTTACGATTTAAATGTGGTTTAAAATCTGATGAGTCATTTTATCGATTTCGAACTGCTTTTATGGATGAAGGACCTTCAAAAGCAACCATCTACCGCTGGTGTAGCGAGCGGTAGCGGTCGTCTTACTTTAGGGGATGAACAAAAGAGTGGTCGTCACGGGAGAAAGTGTGCTGGCAGTAAAAAAAAATATTTAAGAAAACAGTCGAATTAAAAGTTTGATAATAATTAGAACTGCATTCACAGATTTTTAAAAATAGCATGCTACAAATGGGAATCAAACTTGTGAAATTTCGAAAAATAAAATACAACATATTTTATGATAACCATCGAAAGGGTTAAACATAAGGATTATTTTTTGCTAAATAACATAGCATTTTAAATGAAAGGAATGTCCTATTACGAGATAAAAATAATAAAGTGATATACAAACTGTAGTACGTATGCATTTCTTTTTGAACTCACAGTTACAATGCGATTGACTGAAATTTATAAAAATAATAATACGAAATTATTGTAAATTTTCAAGCGTTCTTTTGTTTTTGTGAGTTTCATTTTCTTTTATTTGCTTTTTTTTGTTAATTTACTTACCATGGCGTATCAAAATAAAATGGATTTAATGGAAGATAACTTTATGAACCACTAAGACATATTAACTTTGCGGTAGTACCGCGAAAGATATCCTGATAGAGACGTACCTTCTCGATATGTGTTTACCTTATGTGGTTAGGGGACACTTCAAGGAATTTAGGGAGTTTTGATATGCGCTTACAGAAATCACAGCAGCGGATGATAAACGTCTACGATGATGAACTCAACATTTTAACTTACATTGAGGCGTGTTCGCTTTTATATTAGTTTGTATTAAATAATTTTAAATAAAATGTTAAATTTAATTACTTTTCTTTCATTTAAATGCTATGTTATTTAGCAAAAAATAATCCTTATGATTAACCCTTTCGATGGCTATCATAAAATATTTCGTGTTTTTTTTTTCGAAATTTCACGAGTTCGATTCCCAGTTGTAGCAGGCGATTTTAAAATAAATCTGTGAATGCATGTCCAAGTTATTATTAAAAATAAAATGATGTCTTCTTTCAGTAAAATATCCTATCTTCAATGTTTAATATACTTTTTCTCCGTGTGAGGTAGCCGTGGAACGCCCTGTACAATGGCACTGATTTAAAGAGGCAGTTGTAAATAGCAGTTTTGGTAAGTTAAAAATTATAAATGGCACGTTTAAAAACTAGTTCAGCAGTTAAAACTAAGCAGTAAAGTAAACAAAAGTGAGTAAAAAAAAATTATGAAATAGATCAGTTCAGATCAGATCAGATCAGAAAAATAATTAAAGGGGCGGTAAAAACTATTGAACGAGCGGTTACGTGTGGGCTGTAATAAATCGGAATTTGTCGGTAAGAAATCTCATTCTAAGCAATTCTATAAACAATGAGGTGGTAAAATAAAATAAACCAGAAAGTCGCATCGCAGAGTGCGATCAAAACGAAGGACTTTCTGGACTCCACACCAGTCAGAGTCTTGGGACACTCTCCTAACAGTCCTGATTTAGCTCCGTGTGACTTCTTTTTGTTCCCTAAAATAAAAAATCAGCTCAAAGGGATACAGTTTTTATCGCCGGAAGAAGCGCTAGCAGCGTTTGAGAAGGCCGTGAAAGAGGTGTCTGCGGTGGACTGGAAAAATGTTTTGAAAATTGGTTCAGACGTTGGTTCTTTGAAAAGATTTAATAAAAATATTTTTTTCATATATATAACTAGTCCGGCCGTAAATACTGTTACATAAAATTCAGGCCAATTTACTAGTTTTACGTTCAAATCAAGCATAGCGTCGCACTTTCCATATAGAGATAATTAACCTTCTTATTGTTGGATATAGAGAATAATTTAGTCTGAGAAGCTAATAAATCTCACCGATGTAATTATTATGTAGAAAACAAACCCGATCAAACTGTGGAGTCGTGGAATGGAGACATTGGAGACCTTGGCTCGGCGATATTGCCAATATTTTTTGTAAACTTTTTGTGTCTCGTTGTGTGGAATAGGGACCGGGAGTTTGGTGTAGGTTTTTAAATGTTTATAACTAAAAAAAAAACAATGTTTCTTTTGTCCGCAGCAACCATGCTTCCACCACGGTAGCATGCGCCTGACAGCAGCTTTAACATGCGCGGCCCTGCTAATGTTCGGGGTCGCGCGGGCACACGCAGACTCATCCCAGGCCCAGGGAGAGGGGCTGGGGCGGGGGAGGTGCCCCCCCACCTGCGAGTGCGGCACCGAAGATGGACGCCTGACGTACACCTGCGGGGGAGTGAAGCTTCAAAGGCTGAGCAATAAATACGTCATTGTTTGCGAGGTATCAGCCATCATCATAGCTAGCTTATTAATGTCCCCCCTGCTGGGGCACAGGTCTTCCCTGTAGACAGAATTCCGTTGAGGCTCCAGAATGTCCCGGGGTTCCGCTGAATGGGAGCTGGACTACCGCTGCCGAGAGGATGGAGGTCCGTGCGCTGGCCTACGACTTAACCGAGATTACATGCGAGGTATCACCATCAGGCTGTTAATGTCCCCAATGCTGTTCAGACCTTCCCTATTGACGGAAAAGGATATTGAGGATCATGACCCACCCGATGCGGATTGCGGTACTGACGACAGTAGATGCCACGACCGATAGCCTAACGTGTATTCTAAAGAACGGAGGTGCGAAAGGACATCGGCCAAATCATATTTAGATCAAAGTAGACGTTCACGTCTAGCATAGAATTTTTACTAAGATTATTAATTAAATATAAACAGTTTTTACAAATTGTAATTAACACAAATAGAAGCCAAGTAAAATAAAAAAAAACCACTACATTGACATTCCTCCTAACTTGTCCTTTTTGGCACTTTTTTTTTTAAATACAGCATTAAGCAGCGTTTTTTTTGGCGGTAGGCGAATAATTAGTAACATCCTTTTTATTCCCGAGAAATTTTAATTTGCTTAATAAAATATACATTAAAGTTTAAAGTCAAATCTTGTTAAAAATTCAAAGGGGAACTCACATATATCAACATATATTGTGGGCAACTTTCTCAAATGGTTAATTAGGCAGCTATAACCACTTGATTATGATTATGATTATGTTGCTGCAGTACTGGAAACTCAGAAGTCCCTGGAGTCAATGTTAATGAAGAAGATGAGCGACCTGGAGGCTCAACTGAAATCATCCACTTCCAAGAAAGATGGGGACGGGGATAAGGTGCTGCTGATCCGGGAAGAGTTCAACACATTCAGGGAAGTTGTACAGAACATACTGCTCCTCTTGCGTCAACAAATCGCGGAAGTTCTCAAATCTGTTGATTTAATTGAGACAAGGCATCGGCAGAAGTGTTTACTCCTTAGTGGGCTTCCAGAAAAATCCGATGATGAATTGGCAGATAGCGCTCTCTCTTTGCTTCGAAAACACTTGGGACTCTCAGAGATTACTGGAGAGAGCATCAAGGCGTGTTACAGACTGCGCTGATATAGTGAGGGGCGCAGTCGGCCAGTTGTTCTTCGTTTCACCAGTCAGAGCATTAGGTCTATTGTATGGAAGAACAAGACTAAGTTGAAAGGCTCCGATTTAGTCTTGCACGAATTCCTGACCAGAAGCCGACAGGCTACATTCAGAGCAGCGAGGGAGCATTTCGGCATCAAAGGTGTGTGGACATCAAGCGGTAACATTTGTATTTCTACTCCGGACGGTGACAGAATACGCATTGTCTCAATGGAAGAACTGAATAAGCTCATTAAGAGATTCCCTAAGCCATCTTCTATTGCTGCTGTGGTGTCGGAGGAGTCATCGGTGGTGCCTGAGGTGTCGACAGTCGTATCTGAAGATCCAATTCAATCTTCCAAGGTGCTTCAGACGCGTTCGAAGCGAGTCAACAAAAACGCTAAGTAACTCGTTAGTACAATCGTCTTGTAAATAGTGCATGGCATGACTCGTCTTTACTTTTGTAATGATAATTTCTCCTTCCAATCACAATTGTCACAATTTGTTATCACATGAAGCTAAAATTATTTATCATTTTAATTTTGAAGGTGACAAGTGACAGTGACAGAACACATTTTTAACATTAGTGTTTTTTTTTTAATATTCTCCTTTTTCAATTAAGGCAAAGAGAATAATGCCCATACGGTCTTTTAACTTTATTTTTTATTTTTTTTAACTCTTGTCAATGTTTTTACGCCTTTCTAATGAGTTTGTAATCGAGTCGTGCCTATTTTTAAAGTTTGTTGATGACTAATACATAAGTGCAAATTGTAAACCGTCTACCAGTTGGATGTGTGTAAATTGTGGATGCAGATTATTGCTAGTGTTTATGTGTTTATTTTAATATAATTCTGTTTTAGGTAGTATATTATTATATTCATTAAGTATTTATTTTATATATTTATATTATATTTATTTTGGTTTTTAGCTAATACAGATGTCGGATTCAGAGGAATATTTTTCTGCTAACGATAATTCTACATATAGTTCTATTGACGATTCAAGGGATGACTTGGATAATATTAGCACTGCTCTAAAACGTGAACTTCATTGTTACTGTGATACTCTTAACATTTGTCACATCAATGCACAAAGCATTCCACGGCACTATACTGATCTCCTCCACACTTTCTCTTCTGATACGGCTCATGCCGTGCTGGTGTCAGAAAGTTGGCTTAAGCCGTGTCTAAATTCTATTTCATATGACCTCCCAGGATATAATCTCATTCGAAATGATCGTATTGGCAAAGGTGGCGGTGGGGTTGCCATATATTTGTCAAATGTCTTACCTTTCAAACTTTTATATTCATCTTCGTGTTGTTTCGGCTCCATGGAATATCTTTTCCTTGAAGTTACTGTCAAAGGTGTCAAAATAGTCCTGGGAGTTGTTTACTGTCCCCCTTCTATAAATTTTCTTACTGATCTTGATTCACTTCTTAATTCTATTGCAACAGACTACTCTCAACATATCATCATGGGTGATTTCAACACCGACCTCCTGAAAGACACCGCCCATTCTCGCAAGTTTCGGTCCCTCATTGAGTCGGTAAACTTCTCTATTTTACATCTGGATCCTACTCATCACAATCTTACCACATCGGACTCATGGATTGATCACATATTAATATCTTCCCCCGAACGTGTCCTTAAGCATGGACAACTTCCTGCACCTGACTTCTCCAGGCACGACCTTGTTTTTCTTGCATATAAAGCCAAACCTCCAAAGCCAAAGCCAATTATTGTACGAATGCGTAATTTTGCTAGACTTGATGTGGAGAAATTGCAAAGCGATGCTTGTGGTATTAACTGGGATCCTCTTCATGAAACAAGTTCCGTCAATAGTATGATCTCTTACTTTAATAAAACTATTTTAGATCTTTACAACCGACACGCCCCTAAAGAGTTTGTTAAATTAAAACGGCCACCAGCGCCTTGGATTACTGCGGGTGTTCGCATGGCAATGAGAAAGCGAAACAAGTATTTCCGTGCGTACAAACGTTGCCGCACTGATGATAACTGGTGTGCCTTTAAAACGGCTAGGAATCGCTGCAATCAGATGGTGAGAGCCGCTAAACGCCAATACATTCATCAAAATATATCAAATTCAAATCTAGCTGATACATGGAAGTTTCTAAAAAGTTTTGGTTTTGGTAAAACTACCACCAAACATATCCCTTCATTTTCACTGGATGAGCTTAACAAGCATTTCTCATCTGTTTCTGCTCTCCCTACTTCTGTTATGCTCTCTACTGTTTCCTCTATCACTTCCTTGGCTTCGTCAACAAGTGATTTATTTTATTTTCGTCCTTTAACTGAAGAAGACGTCCGTAAGATTGTCCTTTCAATAAAGTCCAAGGCAGTGGGTTGTGACGATATTGGCAGAAATATGATTATACCTATAAATATGTATACTTCCGAGTCTCACTTTAATTCTCAATTTTTCGCTTTCTTCCAGTACCTTTCTTTCTATCTGGCGAAAAGCACTAACTACCCCTCTCCCTAAAATAAATAGTCCCTCCTCTCTAAGCCACTATAGGCCTATATCTATACTTCCCTTTCTTTCAAAAGTTTTAGAAGCTGCTGTCCACAATCAACTCTCCCCTTTTATCTTTCGCAACAAAATTCTTAGCCCATTACAATCTGGGTTTCGTCCTGGTCGTAGTACAACTACTGCCCTTATCAATGTCCTGGATGACATTCGCAACGGTATGGAGAAATCGCAGTTAACTGTTATGGTCCTCATTGATTTCTCAAATGCATTCAACATGGTTAACTATGATATGCTCCTGGCAATCCTTTCACATCTGGGAGTTTCTTCTTCAGTAGGGACCTGGTTTTCATCATATCTTCGTGGACGCCAACAGGCTGTTCGGGTAGACCAGACCATCTCGGACTGGTGCGAACTCATTGCTGGTGTTCCACAGGGCGGTATTCTTTCTCCTCTTCTTTTTTCGTTGTTTATTAACTTTCTCACAACTATGATTCATTGCTCTTACCATCTGTATGCGGACGATCTTCAACTATGTGTTCCTGCCGACAAAAATGATTTAGATGTGGCCCTGGCATGCCTAAATGATGACCTCCATCGGATTTCGGAATGGTCCAACTGTTACGGTATCTCTGTAAATCCAGCAAAATACCAAGCAATCATAATAGGGAGCTCTCGACAGTTGGCCCTTCTGGATTTAGGTTCACTAAAACCGTTACTGTATAATGGTACTTCAATTGGATTTCGAGCTAGTGTCAAGGATCTGGGTCTACTCATAGACTGTTCGCTCAGCTGGGAAGATCAAGATAATGAAGTTTGCCGTAAAATCTAAACACACTTAGGGCTCTGTACAGATTAAAGTTCTTTCTCCCTTCCAGTACAAAGGTTACGCTCGTACAGGCTCTCGTACTTCCTATCGTTGACTATGCTGACGTCTGCTATTCTGACATCAATCAAAACCTTCTTTCTAAACTGGATCGTTTGCTCAATAGCGGTATTCGCTTTATCTTCGGTTTGCGTAAGTACGACCATATCTCTCACTATAGAAATGAACTCAAGTGGCTGTCCATACGTGACCGTAGAAATCTCCGAATTGTGTGCATGCTTTTCACTATTTTATACGATCCACGTGCCCCAGAATACTTGAAATCTAGGTTTCAGTTTCTGGGACCCTCTACACCGCGTGATCTTCGCTCTTGTAGGCACCTTACCCTCAAAACCCATTTTCACCATTCTGGTTTCGTCTCCAAATCTTTCACCATTACGGCTTTAAGTCTCTGGAATGCTTTGCCATTGAATATTCGCAGTGCTCGTAGTAAGTTGGAGTTTAAAAATCTAGTACGTGCACACTATCTGTCGACCTAATATTTCTGTAATCTTCAGTCATCTGTAACATCATAATTAGTTATTTCTAACTAGTTTATTATATGTATATAGGGTGAAATTGAATGTTTCTATGAAACTTCGTGAGATTGTTGGGTTATGTGTATAGAGTATGCCTGTTTTTTTTCGGATTTTTTTGAAGTATATTTTTTTATGTATTTATTTATAATTTGTGTATTTTTATGTCCTTTCCTCCTTTTGAGTAGTTATTCATTTTAAACAAACAAACTTACATATCCAGTGAAAAACAACTAATAAATAAGCACTTCTAAAAAACGGAAAAACATTAAAATTCCACCGCGGGTCAACGACCGACCGCGCCCGCCAGCCGTTGAGTGAATAGGTACATAGCTCTACACAGAGCTCAGCTGACTCGTTTAATTAAACACAATACAATAAAATCGGCTTAGATGCCTTTATTGAAATTGAAATAATAAGCACAAATGTCATCTTCTCTTAAGCAGAGAAAAACTTTAAAAGTTAATAATAATTTTGTCACGATTGGAAATATGTAGGCAAATGTTAAACAAAAAGAAATACTTATTGCAGTTCAATACTTGGGTCAGAATGAAATTTATAACCAGGTATTCAAAAGTACTTACGAGACCGGCGATGTAAGTAGGTACAACGAGGAACGAAGAACATATTCATTTTTTTCACTAGAACTTTTTATCAAATCAATCACACTGGTAGTACACAATTAGTTGTTTCTAATCAAAAAGTATTTACACTAGCAATAAAAAGAGACTTAAATTATTATCTGCAAAATTGTTGCTTTAAACCACCATTTTGCTGCAAACAAAGGTAGGCATGTTTGCGGACGTGTCTTTTCACCTTTTTTAAAGTGTCCCTATCACTACTCACTGCACAAAATGCAACTTCTATGGTTTGGGGACTCATTCGTAAACCAAACCTACTTCGTCACACTCGCGATAGCAGTAGACCATCTCTAAATAGGTATTTTTGGTTCGTATACCGAGGCATAATGAAATTATCACAGTGTATGTCACTAAGTCAAAAGATGCGCACGCGCACGCGCGATTGATATACTTGCGACTGCGTTTTGCATGCAATCAAAGCAAACCACCGAGCGCGGGGAAGAGGGGAGGTGGGCGGAATTCACATCATCAAAGACGCCGCAACCGGCGCTAGTTGCCAGCGTGCGGCGCGCCGCGCGCCCGTGCTTGCCCCAAAACAACATATTATTATGTGTGTGTGTGTGTATGTGTGACTGTGGCTGTGATTAAATGTGTTGGGAATTTCATGACGTGGGCAAATCAGACACGAAGAGTTCCTTCCTTCACTAAGCTCGTAAGTTATACCGATTTGCTCTGTATGATTTTTCCCAATTTAATAAGCCGTTTGTGCTTAAGTTTTAATTAAACGAGGCAACTAACATTAACAATAAAAAAGAAGTTCTTACACTAACAGACAGGCTTTACCGATTTAAAATCGTGACAGTCATATTAACTTTATAGGATTTTTAATTGCTCTAACAGAAGATTTATTTTATTGATTAATTACCTGTGCTTTATGAAACAATATTCAAAGGTATTGTGTATCAGTGAATAAATAATTATAATATAGCATCTAAGACTATTTTATTGTAATGTACACCTACATCGCCGGTCTCGTAAGTACTGTCTAATACCTAGTTATAAATTTCTTTCTGACACAAGTATTAAACTGCAATAAGTATTTGTTTTTGTAACAAAATTATTATTAACTTTTTAGGTATTTTTCTCTGCTAATGAGAAGATAACACTTGTTCTTTATTTAAATTTTGTCATTGTAATATGACATCTACGGCCCGTATGAATAGAACGATCTCAACTCTGAGAGCGATCTTGAGATGCTGTTTAGTATGAACACAGTATCTCAAAGTCGTAGTCTCACTGTACTGTAGATAGGTACGCGCCGCGTCAGCTGTGCGCGCGCGGTCGTTGCCCCCGGCGTCGGCCTCGCCTGGCCATATCAACTATTTTTCGTTTATTTTAGTAGTGCTTATTTATTTGTTATATTTCACTTACTATGAATACGTGTTTAAAAATAATTATCACTCAAAAGGAGGAAAGGACATAAAAATGTAAAATAAAAAAAAATAAAAAACGAAATAAATAATTTTAAAAAATCCGAAGAAGTTTCATAGAAACATTCAATTTCACCCTGTATAATTATATGTGTATGTTTATTATATATATATATATATATATATATATATATATATATATATATATATATATATATATATCTATTTATTTATATGTGTATTTATGATATTTGATTATTATTTAATATTTATTTATCGTTTATTATAGTATAGTTAAGTTAAGTAGGATAATATTATATGTTTTTATAACTTTAGAAGCTCGCACTCTATCGCCATAACATTCGTCTCCCACACCCTTACTGGTTGACTGGTAGAGAATGCCTATGGCATTAAGTCCGCCATTTACTGTATTTTGGTAAAGAAGAATAAAATAATAATAATAAAAATCAACTGATAACTAATAAAAATAATAAATAATAAAAATCAACTGATAACTAAATTCAATAGGTTTCAGTCTATAATAACGATTTATTGTAATAGATTATTGACTTTGTTATTATTTTATTTTTAAATTGGTGATTTTGTTAAAAAGCTGTGCCAAGATTGTTTACCAAATACGACAAGTTAGAATGTTTTTTTAAGATTCTCCCTTTTCGGGGAAGGCAAAGGGAACAATGCTCATAAAGCCAAGTCTTTAGTTTTATTAATCTTCGTTTTTTTACATTAGAATATCGGTGTGGCTCATTGTAATGTTTCTTGGAGTGTTTGGCACGAAATGTATCGAGTTGGCTCTTCAGGTAAGCTTCTGTGAGGTAGTCAACACTACAATAGAATTCTCACGTCCACTTGACTGGAGCAGCGTATATTTTAAAGATTCCACTAATTCTTCAGTTGCGCAGACGGTTGTAACACAAAATCACACCAATTTTATTTCACAATATCCACTATGAACGAATTTAAGAATAATTAAAATAAGACGCCAACCGCACTCGATGAAATCAAATGGCTTCGCTTCTACTACATTTTGAATTTATCTGTGATATTGGTATACTTGTTATGATTTCTGTGCAAAAAATCAATTTCTGTAATGAAAAAATGTACTACAGATACGTAATAAAAATGTCAAAATAACATTACCAATAAATGTTCAGAGCAAAATATCTTTTTTCCTCGGCTTTCTTACTTAATTCTTACTTAAATTTATAAGCTCAATAAATTACGTAGAATCTAATGATATATCATTTGTTGAAAGACGCAACAATTTAATTTGAAATAAAACGATGTATGGGAGTTGACCGATGTCCTTTATCACGATCGAGCTAACCACATGCACCATCAGGCTCAAAGATATAAAGTTATCGATATCTTTAAAAGAATAAGAGACTTCCACATTACACCTTACGTGCATCTGGGAATTAAGAATCTTGTAGCGAATAAGGTCGGTAGAGATCCACGGATAAATCCCTGGTGTCACGAGCAAGCGTTCAATAGACCATATTTTTGGAAGTCGCTCATTATAAGACTGGACAAGACATACCAAGGCATGACTGAGGTAGTCACTCATCATAAAGGCTGGCTAGATATGTGATTCTTTTACATGCTTTTCATTTACAAAAAATACATTTTTCCGCAGAAAGTCTCCAATATTTGCGATGAGCTGCCGTTCCTCCAGCTGCCCTCCAACGATACCTTAGACTACTTGTTTCTGAATTACTGCCCTATACCTGAGACATTTAGCTGCTTGCTGGCGAAACTCAGAGCTGCTGATGCTAAAAAGGTTTACTTCATCGCGCCGAGAGGGGAGCTGCGGGTTAACAATTTGGAGGGATTGAAAAAGACCACTGAACTACAATTGTTTAAAGCAGGTTAATACAAATGCGTTCTTTTTGTTAAGGCTACTCGGTTCCATCTATGAATCGGATTCAGGTGAGAGAAAAGGAAAGCAGTAGCAGGTAAAAGCAAAGTAAGTTGATGTGGCAAATATTGCCGCTCCAGCCATCCACAAATTTCCTGTATGTATCTAACTGGCGGACCCTGTAGAGCTCTGGTTTCTACGTAATCATTTTCTTCTACTTATTTTCTGTAGGCCCTTGATCTTGATATACCTCAATTATTTTGCCTACTCTCTTAGGTGCTTTATTGTACTTGCTGCTATTTTATAAAGAATAACGATTAAATCTAACGAAAAATTTACTAGAATAAATTCCACTCGGACCAGGCAGCAGACGGGACTCGAACCCGTTTCTTGGCTTTTCTAGTAAACTTTTCTATAGATTTAAACGTCAAGCAGTTAAATGTTTAAAAAATAAAAACATAAGAGTAACGATTATTTTAATTCCTCTCTTCACACTCTAATAAAATTACTCGCTTGTTCAACAAAATCTGAAATTAACTTCTCCCAGTGTGTTTTAATTATATCCACACTATGGAAATCTTAAAACGAAGATATTCCCTTCTTCTACAGAGCAGGCAACGCATGAGTAAATCAATTACTTAACATCAGGTAGACTCTCACCTCCGTTACGTATTTAAAACTAAGATATTAATAAACGTATCAATTTCAACCTGCAGCCGAACAATCCAGCGTTCCATACGACGTCCTCCGCGTGCTACCGTCTCTCGAATTGTTCAGACTAACCGGTGCCAATCTTCACCTCCCAGCTGACGAGTTATCCGAGTCGGACGAAACTGGCGATTCGATCGCCTATCCTTCGCTGAAGCGCTTCGAGTTAGAATCAAGTCAGATAAAGGAAGTGCCTCGTGGTGCTTTCAGAAGACTTAAGGAACTAACAGAACTGTCCTTGGAGGACAATCAGATCAGGAATATCAATAACGAGTCATTTATCGGTGAGTAGCATTAGTTTTCGTTTTCTATGGAACCATACCCAGAATTCGCCTGTTTTTCTCCACTGTAAATACAGGGCGTCACGCGGGTATGCCACACGAAGTGAAATTATATTAAATATTGAAGAAAGCAGAGAAACAATTAAATAAAAAAGTGAGACTTTGTACACTACGGAATGAAAAACATTTTGAACATTTGATAAATTAAATAAAATATAATTTCACCGTTTCTTTTTTATTGTAGTTTGTCTTCAATTATTTTAAATAAAATTTCATGATCTTCCTTTCATTTAAAATGCTATGTTATATAGGAAAAAATAATTCTTATGATTAACCCTATCGACGGTTATCATAAAATACGTGATATGTTTTTAGGGTTCCGTACCTCAAAAGGAAAAAACGGAACCCTAATAGGATCACTTTGTTGTCCGTCCGTCGGTCCGTCTGTTAAGTCCGTTTTTCTCAGGAACGCGTGGAGGTATCAAATTGAAATTTATATTTAATACTCAGGTCTACTGTCCCTTGGAGCTGTGAAAAAATCAAACTTCTAAGCCGAAGTAATCAAAAGATACAGCCTTATATGCCGCACGCAAATTTTCGAAACTCGCACGGTAATCAAAACCTACAGGTTCCTTCCCGTGAACTTAGAATCTTGAAATTTGGTACGAAGTAACGCCTTATAGTACAGATAAAGGAAAAATTGCGAAAACCGTAAATTTTTAGTTACATCATCAAATAAAGAAATATTTTTTAATAATTATTAAAATATACATACAGGTTTGTCCGGAACCCTCGGTTTTTTGTCACATTTCACGAGTGTGATTCCAGGAAGTCGCAGGCGATTTTAAAAAAGTCTGTGAATGCAGTTCTTCTTATTATTATAAATAAAATTATATATTCCTTCAGTAAAAGTTCCTATCTTCAATATTTAATATACTTTCCCTCAGTGTGGTAAAGCCGTGGGACGCCTTTTAGGTATACACAATAAAAACGGCTATAACAGGTGGTTTGGATGATTCAAAGGAGTTGTATTAAGCCTCCTGCCGACGCACGATGTTATCGATCGATAATGGTGTCGATTCTGGCTTGGTGCACTAAACTTAAATCTAAAGGATCCATTCTTTTATTTTTAAGCATTTACTGCTAGATGTTTAAATCGAAATAAAATGTTACTAGAAAACAAACTGTTGCTGACAAAGATAACCCGTGTTTTATCAGCCATTGGTTCAGAGATCCCAGGGAAACATAAAGGGAGGCAGCTGCATTCTCTATAGTTTTCTCGACAACGTAAAGCGCAAGGTCGTCAGCGTATTGCAAGATATGGCACTCATTGTTTAAGCATGAACCTATGTTAGCCGTATAGAGATTGTACAGCAGATGACTTAAGACAGAGCCTTGAGCAAGGCCCTTCCATGTCTTCCTATGAGGAAAATCTTCACCCTGGACTCTCAAAATCAATGTTCGATCCATCAGTAGGCTGTATATGCACTGTATCATCCTCGCCGGAAGTCTCAGCTGTTGCAGTTTCTGCCTGAGAAGGGGAAGAAGAACACTATCATACGCCGAGGAAATATCTAGGAAGGCTGCAGCGACAGATTCCTTTTTAGATAGAGCTATGTGAATATCAGCAATAGGGGTCCCTACACTGTCCATGGTACCAAGGCTTTTCCTTAAACCAAACTGTGATGAGGGGAGTACATCTCTGGATTCTACTATCCATTCTTATCTGTTTTTTATTAAATGCTCAAATATTTTGGCTAGGGTAGAAGCTAAAGCGATTGGTCTGAAACCGTTGGGGTCATCAGAGTGCTTTCCTGGCTTTAGAATGGGGATTATAAGGTGTGTGGACCATTGGTCTGGAACTCAACCTCTTGTATAGCAAGAATTATAAATTTGGAGGAGATATTTCCTAGCATTGGTGCCAGCATTGACAATAAAGGAATAGGGTATCCCATCTATTCCAGGGGAAGAATCATGGACCTGTTTAAGGACATTTTCAGTTCTTCCAGGGAGAATGGAGCATCCATAGGATCTTCAGGGGGGATATCTATTGGAGGATTAAAAGATTCCAAGTAGGTGGGTGCGTACTGTTACACCCCTGAAATGCTCATGAAATAGCTTACAGTAATAACTGATGCTGCCGCATCAGCATTTCAGGCCAGCGTCGCTATTGCGACATCGGCCAGCAGTCAGTCCCATTTTAGCCACTGTTCGTGACGGTTGTGTGCCAATTAATCCAATTTAATATTGTTTCATTTTTTAAAACCCCGGGACTCGTTCTAACATTGGTGGCAGCGGTGGGATTTTAAAAGCTAAAGAAATCCCCGGTATGTCTCCCAAGTTCGTGTGTGTATTCCCAGTATTCAGTGCTTACCGCCGAATCCCGCTGTATCCTACTAATTCAAGAAACCTGAAAACTGTGGAATCACCCCGCACCGCTGTACCCTGACGCCCGCTCCGTCTACGCCGCATCTGCGTTCCCGCACTGCATCTGGTCGCTGAGGTGCCTTTCACCGTACCCGGACATCGTGCCTCAACACGACAACTATTCTACCTACTATAAATCACCAAAATCCTGAAAGAAAATCATCACACACCCAGTGTATCAACACAATCAAGATTAATTGTGTAAGCCGTGAGTGAACATTCAAACAATTGCGTATTCGCCTGTGACTGTGACCCCGTGTCGCCCTTATCGCTCAGGAATGCGATCAACGCTTCCCGTCGCCGTTGTTGTTTCCGTGTTGTTGCCGTGAGTCTGGTCTTTGTTCTTTCTTACTACTAATTTTTAATCTCTGTGTTTGAACTGTACTAGGTATTTTACTGTGTATTAATTCGTGTGCTATTTTTAGATTTAAGCTCTTTGTACTCTACATCCTTATATTTCGATTTGTTTTATATTTAATTAAAGGACAATGGACCCTAAAATGTTAGAAGTGGTAGACTTCGATTTACCCCTAGATACCGAGGATGAAAGAGTGGTCAGTCCGGGTCCCAGTGAAAAACGAACACGTTCGAAAACACAAAAAATGGCTATGCCAACCCCTGCACCAAGCCTAGACCTGAATATCTTATTAAAATTCATTAAGCCATACGATGGCAGTAGGGATACGCTGAATTCCTTTATAATTAATTGCGACAACGCCTACGAATTAGGGAGTAATGTTCAAAAACCAATTTTATTTAAATACATACTATGCCAACTTCAGGGAAAAGCTGAAGTGGCTTGTTCTATTAAAGATTTTAGTAATTGGGAACAATTAAAAGACTTCTTAAAAACCCTAAAAATTTAGTGAAAGGAAACACTATTGCCACCTACTAACCGAACTCCAGGAAAGTAGGCAACTATCCGACGAAAATGTTAGTCAATACGCCCTCCGCGTTGAAACTTATCTGTCACAACTATTGACAGAAATAACACTAAATAATACAAAATTAAAAGAACTCCCAGGCCGTACCGCGGCCATGGAAGAACTCGCTCTACATCATTTCCTTATGGGTTTGCACCCACGAATTTCGAACATAGTCAGGTGCCGATCCCCTAGAACGCTGAACGAAGCGATTAATTTCGCTATCTCCGAAGAACGAATCCAGCAAACTTTATACAAAAGGACCGCTCTCGCTGATAATAAACCAGTGAACAAAAGCTCACGTACCCCTGGTCCAAGTCAATTTCGATCTCAACCCCCAGCATCAAATCCAATAAGACACAACCCTACCGTAACCTGCAGATACTGTAAATTCCCGGGGCATACCATTGAAAACTGCAGGAAGCGGGAATATAACAATAAGCTTCGTGACCAACAACAATCTTCTACTTCCAGCTCTAATTTCCACCCCATTCGAAGGGTCTACTTCAATCACGAACAGGATGATGAAGGTCAGGACGAAGTAGATTATGAAGCTCAAATCAAGCAAGATTTAAACTAGATAGCGCCTCGTTCCGGTGTCGTACGAGACGCCAACTACTTCAAGGAAAAGACACCTATAGTTCCGTGGCTGGGAGAACCGCTGTCTCCCACATCACTGTATCCAATCCTACTATATCCGCTGTATCTAACCCCGTAGCCCGGAGAACCGCTAAATCCAATATCAAACCTACTATATCCGCTGTATCCAAACCTATAACAGGAAAAATCACTGTATCCAACCCTTCTATATCCACTGTATCCAAACCTGTAACAGGAAGAATCACTGTATCCAACCCTACTATATCCACTGTATCCAACCCTACTATATCCACTGTATCCAAACCTGTAACAAGAAAAATCACCGAACCCACTGTATCTTACCGTGCTATATCCACTGTATCTAAACCTATAATAGGAAAAATCACTGAATCCCGTACCAAATCTAGTATATCCACTCTATCCAAACCCATAGCCAAACCAACCTCTGAATCCACTGTATCCTGTACCAAGCCTACCAAACACGAGACGAATAAAAATATTCCTATTTATGAAATATCATTTGACCCATCGAAGAAATCACTGCCTCACGTCATTGTTCACACCTCCGTTTCCAGTTTGCCTTTATCACTCTTAGTAGACACAGGCTCCTCGATTAGTCTCCTAAAAAACTCCGCAATAAAATCAAAACCGAAATTGAACGAGGAAGTCCTAAAATTAAAAGGTTTCAACTCTAGCAATGACACTATTCCAACCCTAGGTTCCTTCGACCTGAAGCTATATCCTAACGACAAGTCAAATTCCTATTTAAAATACAAATTCCATGTTGTAAGTGATGTCGACCTACCTTATGATAGTATAGTGAGAAACGACCTCCTCACCCAATTCCAAGGCAGTATTAATTTTACACACGAATCTCTGAACCTCTGTAACTCCAACCTTAAAATATTCGAAATAATTTCGCGTAATTGAAGAGGCTCAAGGTGTTTAGTCACCTCCTCATCGCCTATTATGCGGATCGCGCGCCGCTGTAACCTATCCAAAGCATCGAGCAAGTACTTGGCGGAGCCATCCCAGAGGTGCGAGCAATATTCCAGGCAGTATTCCATCCAATATTGCAGGACCGCACTTGAGTTTTGTACAACAAGCACAGTTGATCGGGCGTGAAAAAACGCCGCACCTTGTTCAGGACTCTGAGATTGCGTGAAGCTGTTTTGATCACGATTTCGATGTAGTCCTTTGGATTATGGTCTGAGCGAACTTCCATACCGAGCATGGTAATGTTGCTCTGTAGCGCCAGTGTTATGCCCTGAAGAGAGGGCAGGGGAAGGAATGGTGATGTTTTTGCCGTGCAAGCGCAAGCCTGAGTTTTCTTAGCATTGAACTCAACCAAGTTCCTGGTACCCCATTCGGAAATGTTGTCCAAAGCCTGATTGAGTTCAATAACAAGATTCTCCCGTTTCTCCTTGGTTACCGCCTGCCCAGTCGCTGCTTGTCCGAGACACCCCGGATACACTATACTATCGTCTGCATAGTAATGAATATTCCCAAGAGGAATTTATTTCATTGATATGCTGCAGAATGAGAGTGGGGGATAGGACGGAGCCCTGGGGAACGCCGGCATTCACTGACATGAACCGCAAACTGCTACCATCCGTAAGGACACGAATTCTACGTTCATGCAGGAAGTCAGCTACCCAAGAACAGAACTGGGCTAGCAGACCGTATGCCGGAAGCTTGGTGTTGAAAATATTTATTTATTTATTAGCTGTCATCATTCTATGCTGAAAGACTGAACGCTTCAATATTTCTTCCGAAACGTTTGGTTTTCCATAATTCTTACATACTTGAAACAAAAAAATTAGCAAATATTTTAACAAACAATATTTAATAAATAAAAAAAAAATCTGAGCATTTCCTAAATACCAATCTTTTTGGACAAACACAAAGAATTGTCAAACGACGCTTCAATTAATAAAAAGAAAAGGTATCGATAACGAAGTTAATTTTCGTCAATTTAAGGATATAGGTTCTATACTTAATTTCCACGCTAACTATCAAATTGAAGCTTTCTTTGAGTAGGCTTAGAAAATCTACACCTCAATCTATATCCCGACGACGAATATTAATATAATTATAAACGAACCAGAAACATAGTAAGAAACGTGCGAAGTTTCGTTCGATATTTTGTTTTTCGGTGAATTGGAGTAGGCATCCTGTTTACAAGCTCAACAAAAGTGTCTTGGAAGTGCGTGACACGGCAACTGGCAACACCGTCGCTCGAAATCTGCTTTTTAATTGGTTCTTGTGTTCATGTTCTTCTCATGTGAAACTGAAGCGACTTTAGTAATTTTTATTTGTATTCTGAACAAAATAATATTACTTTGAAAACTTGAAACAAATATTTAAAATTTCGAAAAGAAGTTTGCTGCTGCTGCAAAAACCTGCCAATGATATTGAAGGGGCGGTACTTAATCCTGTAACATCCTGAAACCTACTATACGCCTTCGCGCCAAAATTTAAAGTTGTAGGTTGTCAGAACGTTACAGGGTGTAAAGGGGAATCGAGGGTGAAAAGGGATTCGAGGGTAAAAAAGGGAGAAAATAAAGGATTGGTGGGTGATAGTGGGGATTGATGCGTGATAATAGGGGATTGGTGGGTAATAGTGGGGATTGATGCGTGATAATAGGGGATTGGTGGGTAATAGTGGGGATTGATGCGTGGTAATAGGGGATTGGTGGGTGGTGATGGTGAAGGGTGTGGGGTGGATCTGTGGACACCCCTCTGGTACCTGGCCGGGCTGTGGCGTGTATCTCGTTTTCGCTGCGAAGGGAAGCCAAATAGACTGGAGCCGTAACGCGTTACGTAACGAACGGTTTACCCTCCCATAAGAAGCTATTATTTCAAAAATCACATGGTGGATCACCCTTCAAAGATTCACAAATGGAATATTTACATGTGTTTGCAGATTACAGATCAAAAGGCAGATGTAGCGCACAGAACACGCAATGCGTGGTATCATAGCAAATACAACACGATGCGTTGTGGTGTACTGACGCGAATTGATAGTCGCTTCCAACTTCGTATTTGCTTTGGTGGAACGCATTGCGTGTATAGTACACGCGTTCCGTCTGCCGTTTGTAAGACACTAGTCAACACAAAAATATTTTTTGAAATCGGATCAGTAGTTCCTGAGATGATAGACGCGTTCTACCAAATAAGAAAACAATCTTCAGCTTTATGATATTAGTATCATCATCAGCCGATGGACGTCCACTGCTGGGCATAGGCCTCCTCAAGGAATTTCTAAACACAGTGATCCTGTGCTCTTCGCATCCCCAGTGGGTCCCACCGACTAGTTGATGTCGTCAGTACTATAGATTAAACAATTTTTGATCAGTTTATAATTTATATCGGTTCGATTCTTTATCAACAGGAATGGAGAGCCTCGAGTTCTTGAGTTTATCTCAGAATCCCTTCAAGGTTCTACCACCAGGAGTGTTTGCCCACACTCCGCGACTGAAGGTCCTAACTCTCGACGCCACTGGGCTTGAGGAGATCCCGAACGGTGCCATCACAGGACTACAAATGTTGAAGGAGGTGAGAAGTTGGTCATATATCTATTTTTGTAACACTGGAAGTGCAAAAAGAATGAAAAATACACGAAATAAGGTGAAAATAAATATTTATAATTTTAATTTTTAAGCATGTAACTGCTTCATGTTTAAATCTAAAGAAAATATAACTAGAAAGAATTCCACGCGGACCAGGCAGCAGACGGGACCTAACCCGCACCCTAAGAATGGCTTGAAGCATTTCGACGCGGCCATAGGGGCCACGTTAGCATAATTGGTCAGTGCATTCGCCCGGATTGCGAAGGGTGCGGGTTCGAGTCCCGTCTGCTGCCTGGTTCGCGTGGAATTTTTTCTAGTTACATTTTCTTTAGATATAAATAAATATTTAATTAAATTTTAAAATAAAACATTATCGCATATTCAGTTTAGTCTGTTACAAGCACTTGTCAATGTCAGAAAGGATGTTTCTGCCGACTGAGAATGGCGAAGACTAAAATGACGTCACACACTAGTAAATTTGCGGTCAAAGTGACAGTTACAGATTACAGTGTATCGTTTGTCCAGGGGGGTCACACTTAGAATACTAACATTTGACAGATACTAAATCTATTTACAGTGCCATCTGTCGAAGCAGTTTTGCCAAAAATTCGAAATGGAACGCATGTTTTGTCGCTCTACCGCAATAGATGGCGTCTGCAAATGTCATTTATGTCAATAGAGTTACATGTGTCACAATACAAAATGTCTGCTGCTTCAGTTTGTGCTTGCGCATGTTGTTGTAGCATTTTGTAATTGTTTATAATCATAATCATAATAGTTCCTGGTGTTTTATTATTATCATAAATTTTAAAATTTTATTAAATTTTATTATTTATCATAAATATATGTATCATAATCGGTAGGTACCTATCCTATATATAAAGGTGACACCAATTTGCAGAGGGCAGCACTTTTAAATATGGCGTCGCGTCAAAATGGGGTGACATATTCTACCATCGAGTAGGTTCTCTATTCCTTTTGGTATATTTACCTTTCTCTATGCGTTTGTCGTATTAATGACAGTCGCGTAACGTCACATCTAGTATGAGTGTCCAGAGAAATGTGTTTTTTTTGTGTGTATGCTGCTGGTCGCAGATGACCTTTACAGCGTCACCGGGTTTGGGGACGGCGAGATCTCAAGGGGACCTCAAGCCGAGAATTGGCGAGTGCCTCTAGAGGTATTCCAGGCGGATGGGATCTCCCCACGGGGGGAGTCTCCTCTCCGTCTGGAGCCTTTAGACCACTCGAACCTGAGGGGGTCGGCTCAACTAGAGGGCGACTCTCTGAGACTCTCTCGGACCTCGGTTCTAGTTAGCCGTTGTCGTAGGGGACAAGAAAAAACGCCTAGGTACGTACCTGTTCCTGGTATAGCGTGTCGTGTGTAGACCGGGTCTTCACACTCTTATCCTACGGGTGCGGTGTCTGCCTAATACTAAGCTAGTGTGCACGTTTGCTAGCTATGTAGTGTTAGTGTTTGTGGCCTGTCTGGGAGAAATCGGAGGCGCGTTGGCGCGGGGGATTTCGCCGTCTGGGTACTCTAAGACGTATCTAGGCCGGCGGAATCATAGGGATCTACGATTGGAGGACGGGAGGGCGGACGTATGATAACTAATCGCTATAACTACTAAGGGGTTCGGATGATGCGCGGCTTTATCGAAAGAACGCCTCGAGGCGTCCTTCATATACTTCGCGATGGAGTCTAACTTGAGATCGCGATGCAAATCGATGTTGCGCACGTACCAACGCACGCGCAACACGATTTTACAGAGTCTGTAAGGGTTTAGGACGCGACGGATGTACGTGGGCGAAGCAAACACTCGCGTAGGTCATGATAGGGCGGAAGCAAGCTTTGTAAATTGTCAACTTATGCCTAAGTGACATCTTACGCTTACCTATGAGGTGGAATAGCCTGCTGCGAATGAATGCTGCGCGATCGCGAACTATCTTGAGATGAGGTGCAAACGTTAATCGGCTATCTAACGTAACTCCCAAATACTTGACCCGGTCCTCCCAGGGGATGACCCGATCAAATAATTGGATGCTCGGAAGAGAACGCGTGGGAGGCGGTGTCGTGTTAAAGAGGATCGCGAGGCTATTTTCCGTATTAACCTCGATACGCCATCTACGGAACGAATCGCCAAGAGTGGTAGCGGCTGATTGAAGTATATTACAGACGGTTCCGAGACGACTATCGGAGGTATAGAGGGCGGTGTCGTCGGCGAAAAGCGGGAGATTGACTTTAGGAGCCTTGGGCATGTCGTTCGTAAAGACCGAGTAGAGGATAGGCGAGAGCGGCGAGCCCTGAGGGACGCCGGCGCGTATAGGGCGAGGCGAGGAGAGCATTCCTTCGACGCGATAGTGAATCCAGCGATTCGACAAAAGTCCCGTATGATGAGCACGAGTCTGTCCGGCACCCCGAGTTTGTATAGCTTATAAATTAAACCATTGTGCCAGACTTTGTCAAATGCTTTCGCCACGTCGGAGAAAAGCGCACCTGTGGGAATCGCGGAGGCTCGATATAGATCGCGGTAGTGGAAGATGTACTCCGTTAGGCAGTGCACCTGGTGGACACACGAGTGTTTGGGACGGAAACCAAACTGTTCGTTCATAATTTATTTATTTAATTTAGGTAACAAACAGTCTTATACAAACAATTTTACAATTTATGTTTACAAATAGACCTAAAGTACCATTAATTGACATATAATTATTAAATTCAAGCGGCATAAAAGTGACGGATAGGTAACTGTAAACATATGATATACATCGCCGCCGCACATGTTATATACTATTTAAACAATAATTCACTCACTTTCCTTTTGAAGTTGTAAAGTGATTCACCGAAAACATCTGCTTCATTCAAGTTCTTATTGTTAAAAATTACATGTCCGTCTAAAAAAGGTTTCTCTAGCATAGTTGGTATGGCAACTCGAAACATAAAAAGTATCCTTTGAACGTGAGGAGAAACGCGCAACTTTGTTAAGTTGCATACAGATATTTAATCAGTGTAATAATAATAAAAATGTAAAGCGTCAAACAAAATTTGCAAACTCCATAGAATTAACAGATATCTCTAACTCTGATGAAGATAAGCAGTCAGTTAAATCCTTACCTGCTTGTCGAACCGATTGTAAACCTTATAGTAGTAGACATAAAGATAAGTTTATTAGTTCTAGTTCCAGAAATACGAATTTTTAATATTTTTACATTTTTTATAATTATCTTACTAAATTTTGTTCATCTTACGAGATGAGATCTTAGTTCTAATCTTAATTATTATGACTTTGTTACTTAGAATAATATTATTGGGAATCATTTTAATTGTATTTTTATAATATGTTTTATAATGTACAACTGTTTACCAAATCCTGAAGCTGTCTCTTATCATTGATTATTTTTTATAACTCCGCTTCATCCTAATTTTCGATAAAGCTCCGTTAAAAGGGGGGAGTTGTTATAACCCGACTTAGCAACCATAGAATGCTAATTCAACAATAATGTGTATAACTGTAATTTTCCATAGAATTAAACTGCAGAGTTGCATTAACGCAGCCCATCGATTCCCACAGTTCAGTTAGAGGAGGTACGGAGGTTGTATAATTAGTTCGAAATTTCAAAATGACGGAGCATGCGGTAAAGCATTTTATCGCCCATGCATGGCGCCGTGCGTATCCTTTCCTTAATTATTCCTTTACGGTGTTTTTTATTTCGGTTAAACTTTCTTTGAAGCGCTTTTAATCCATACCTTCATCTCACTTCAATACTAAAAAGAAATAAGTAGTTCTAATTTTCACCACACGTAGGTGGCGCCATTTGACATTACGTGGCATTTTCTTATTAAAAATAGTTGGCTTTATTAGGTGCTTAAATTAGGTCCCTACACTGTTTTCTCGCAAATGTGTTGAAAAACGTTGTATGGATTTCGTGCGGAATTAATAACCAACATACCGCACTTATATCATAAATAACTTTTCTTCTACAAATATATAAATAATTTGAATGGAGAATCTCATCAAAATAAGTAATTAAGGATATTCAATGTATTTTCGCAGATCAACATTGGTACTGGATACACCAGTGACATGTTATCTTTCGGTTCACGCGCTCTGGGTGATCTTCCGTCCCTTAAGGAATTAAACATAAAAGAAATCATAATCAAACGTGTACCATCAGATCTCTTACAAGGAGACACCAAACTCCAAGAATTACTCATAATCGGTGCTGGCTTAGAAGAACTGCCCAAACAATTTTTCAATGGACTGGTGAATTTAAAAATATTGAATTTGGACAAGAATAATATTACAGCACTGGACAGCGATATCTTCAGACCTTTGAAAGCGCTGCAGCAGCTCTATTTGAACGGAAACCGGATAGAAATGCTGCCATCGTAAGTTTTGTTTCTGTTTTATTTTTTTTGTTTTTATAGGTCTTTAAAAAAATGGGTGGAAAAAAATAATTTAGATGTTTACTGCTCGGAAGCCAATAAAAAGTAATAATAATAATAATAATAAATATATCTTTATTCAAATAAGGTCATACATTGCATAAAAATGGGTGCGTGTACTTATGTAGGCGCGTGAGAAGTAATCCTTCTTTGGCATCGTTTAAAATTAGTTTTTAATTGCATGCAAATAATTAATTACAATAAATTAATAAAAAGTCTGGAAAAGGATGAAGTCAATAAAGTTCAGTTTTAATTTGGAAAAATAAATCAAAATATTCAATTAAAATCGCTACTGAATATAATTTATTAGAACATATGTGATTTGCACTTGTATGAAACTCAAACACGTATTCCGAATATACAAACTAGAAACATGTGGATAAATATTATAAATATGAATACCTATAACTGTTACTTTATTACAAAAAATAAAGATGTGGTTTTTGGTTCTACTACACCAATGGTCAAGAGATGGCGCTGTAGTCTCCTGAATCGCGCTTTGGTTCCGTTGTTCCAGATTAATAAATACTTTTGATAGGCCTTCACAATGCAGTCGTTAGCACCCACTAAATAGAGATTCTATTTCTATTTTGTTGGTAGATTTTCTTAATGTGCGGTAAACACAAAAGTAACAGCATGAAGTTGGTCGCTAAGGCGACCAACTTCATGCTGTTAAATTTTTGTGTTACAGTGATGCGCGCGCATCTTAAAATTTCACTCTCATCATTTTTTCATAACGCGCCTAAAGAAGTATAACTTCAATAATACTAATAACAATATAAAATACAAAATAATGGATGCCTGAACTAGGTTACAGTTAAAATTGTACCTGTATTTCAGGCTTTTATGATCTAAATAATACATTGAATGATTAATAAATTAACAAATTAATTAAAACAGAACTTAAAGTAATCATTATATAAATGTTGGTAAATGTAAATTATGGAGTTACGTTCATTTATTTACAAATAAGAAGTCATTCTTCGGTCTGCTCGTATGTCAGGCTGTGCAAATAATTAAATACTACAGTTCTACAGTTAAAATAGTTTAATGTATAAATACCTAATACTCTATTTAACTTATTAAATAAGAAAGGACTTAGGAAAGTAGAGAATCTATGTAAAAAGATGTATTTTGAATCATGTGTAGAGATGCAGACTATATCTTTCCGTCTCGTTGTTTTAAACACATTTTTTTTGCGTATATATACATGATACATTGTCGGCAACGCCATCTTTCCCGAATAACATCTAACATCTAACATGAGGCATCTAACTGCCTCAGCTAGTATTGGAATTCTTGGCGTTGACATATCGAGCGACGTCCAGTTTCGGGATCATTCAGAGGGCAAGGCCAAATTGGCCTCTAAGAAGCTTGGTGTGCTCAATAGATCGAGAATGTACTTCACATCGGCCCACCGACTGCAGCTTTATAAGGCACAGGTTCGGCCTCACATGGAGTACTGCTCTCATCTTTGGGCGGGGGCACCCCAGTACCAGCTTCTCCCTTTGGATCGCATCCAGCGCCGAGCGGCTCGAATCGTCGACGACCAGGATCTTTCCGATCAGCTCGATCCTTTGGCTTTGCGTAGGGATGTAGCTTCGCTCTGCATCTTCTATCGCATTTATCACGGGGAGTGTTCTGAGGAATTGTTCGGATTAATTCCAGCTGCTGCATTTCGCCATCGTACATCGCGACAAAAATTTCATCCCCATCATCTTGATGCGTGGCTATCCACAACCGATGCGTTTTTATCGAAATTTTTTACCACGTACGACAAAACTGTGGAATATGTTGTCGTCAGCAGTGTTTCCGGACCAATACGACCCAAAAACCTTCAAAAAAAGAGCGTACTCCTTCCTTAAAGGCCGGCATCGCATTTGTGATACTCCTGGTGTTCCAAGTGTCCATGGGCGATGGTGATCACTTACCATCAGGTGAGCCGTCTGCTCGTATGCCCCCTATAGCATAAAAAAAAAACAATTAATAAAAGCAATCTATATTATTCATCAATATTACCCAACAAACATTATGGCTGCAAATAGAACTTACTTTAGAGCCTAAAGTGTAATGAAGGTAGAGTAGTAGCTGCAAGTATAGATTGTAACACACAAAAGAGTGTTAGTAATAAAATTTAACGCTTATAGTGACAGAGCAAGTTTATAAGAGCAATGTATGAGTGGTAAACGCGTAGAGCAGTGATTTTTATCCCTAAATTACAGACCAAGGCTTCTGTGTTATAGCTTTGAGCGAATCATACGACTTTTTTTTATATATTTCCAACATACACCAATTAGCCGAGCCCCAAAGTAAGCGCTGTAAGGCTTGTGTTACGGGATGCAAGGATAACGGATAGAATACATATACTGTACATATATAAGTGTATTTACATAGAAATACATATTATTATATAATTGACACCTTGGAACCCGGCATACAAACCGTCGACTCCTGCATCGGCAAACATGCCTGAGGCACTGCAGTAGCGAGGAAGCTTGAATAGAGCCCTAAATACATTATTGTATGAGATACGCAGAGCATTATAGGCCGCGCGTGTGAAGCTGACCCACAGGCTGCCCGTATATAATGTCTGGCAGTATGCCTTGAACAGCGTAATTTTGACTTCAGCTGAACAGCGAGCGAACCTACGTGCCAACATGTTACCACGCACCGACAATGCCCTGCGCTCCCTCTCAATATCTGCACTATCACATAAATTTTCAGTGACTATGTGGCCTAGGTACTTAAACTGGGAAACATGGCTCAACGGTGTACCATTTAGAGTGATCGGAGGTATAATAGTCGGACCTTTCTTGTCGGCTTTAAACAACATGAATTCACTCTTTTTCTCATTATATTTTAAACCATGTTCCGCAGCATAAGACTCACATATGTGCAATAATTTTCTTAATCCCCCTATCGAGGGGCTCAGCAGCACCATGTCATCCGCGTAACTTAGGTTATTGACGCAAACGTCATCTACGTGACAACCAACATGCATGCTACTGAGCTCCTCGATGAGCTTATTGACAAAAATATTAAAAAGTCTTGGTGAAGTGAAACCCCCCTGCCTAACACCACATTCAAGAAGGTATTCATCAGAATATACGTTACCCCATCTAACTGCATTGCTTTGGTGACTATACCAATATAAAAATAGGGCTACTACGTGTGAAGACACTCCTGCGTCTCTTAGCTTTGTCCAAAGCTTTTCATATGATACTAAATCAAAGGCTTTGGACAAATCCAAGAAACATGTGTATACCGGGGTTTTCCGCTTAACATAATAATGCACAGTGTGCTTTAAAGCTAATATAGCACTTTCAGTAGAGAGCACCCGCCGAAAACCGAATTGTGTGTCATGCAATAACAATACGCTCTCAAGCTTTTGATCTAATAACCCATCGAAAACCTTCGCGATTACCGTGGCTAAGGAGATTGGTCGATAATTAGTCTTATCAGCGGTATCGGCCGTGGGTTCTTAACTCGATAGTTAGTGCCGATGCACTACTACAGTTTTCATGAGATCTGACGGTAAGTACGAATGTCGAAAGCAAAAGGTATACAACATAGCCAGTACCCTGCTGAGGTAGGTCCCTGCATGCTGAAGGTGCTCAATGCTGAGCCCGTCATGGCCTGGAGACTGACCCCTTTTCATATTTTTAATGACACTGAGAACACTACTAGACCTTCTGCTTACGACCCATCCGCAGGAGTATCAGGTCGTGGTTCGAGCCCCGCTGGGTTCATCAGACCATTGCCTGATATCTGTCAAGGTGCCACAGGCCAAAACCCCTCGACCATTAGTGGTCAAACGCAGGGTCTGGCACTATGGGTCGGCAGATTGGGATGGTATGCGCGATTACTTTGCGTCCGTCCCTTGGAAGCAGCGCTGCTTCAATGAAAAGGACCTATCATCCAGCGCCGTTGCCATTACTGAGGAGATCGTAATGGGAATGGAGTATTACATTCCACATTCTGATCTCATCAGTAAGGGCACACGTAACCGCTGGTTCAATCGCGATTGTGCCGATGCTGTTTCTCGTAAGCAGGCGGCATATCGCGCTTGGATCAGAGGCCGCGCTCTTAAGGATCCCGGGGTTAACTCACTGAAAGCTGCCTATAATAGTGCTTCCAAGTCTTGTAAGAAGGCTTACATCAGAGCGGCTGCCCAACGTGTTGCACGTACTGGCCACGAATTGTTAACGCACCCTACGGGCTCCCGTAGTTTTTGGCGTTTGGCTAAGGCCGTGCAACACAACTTTTGCCAGCCCTCGCTGCCACCTCTGCGATGTCCAGATGGGTCACTAGCTCATGAGCCGCAAGAGAAAGCCGATTTGTTGGCAAAGCTCTTTGCGGCCAACTCCCGAATCAGTGATTGCAATGCACTGCCACCTACACTACCTCATTGTGGCACTACGATGCCTGACATTAAAATCAGGCAGCGTGATGTTCGTGCGGAGTTGCAATCACTCGACGTCCGGAAAGCTAGTGGACCTGATGGCATCCCAGCAGTTGTTCTTAAACATTGTGCAGCGGAGTTGTCTCCCGTGCTTACGCGCCTGTACCAACTCTCTTACTCTTTGGGGCGTGTGCCGGAAGCTTGGAGAGACGCCAATGTGCAGCCGGTGCCCAAAAAAGGGGACCGCTCAGACCCGGCCAACTATCGGCCGATAGCTGTCACCTCAGTGTTGTGTAAAGTCTTGGAAAGGGTCCTTAACAACCATCTGACCCGCTACCTAGAAGATTACTCTCTGATTCACGATCGTCAATACGGATTTAGACCGAATCGATCGACGGGTGACCTTCTAGCGTACGTGACACACATATGGGGTGAAGCTATAGACAAGCGGGGAGAGTCTCTGGCTATTAGCCTTGACATCGCCAAGGCTTTTGACAGGGTCTGGCACAAAAGCCTTCTCTCCAAGCTGCCCGCATACGGT